TCTAGAGCCAAACGATGCAGCCTCGCACGTAATGCACCAAACCGCCCTAAATGCTCCTTGGCTCTATGTTGAGCTGAGCGTGTCTTTTGAGAGACAGTCATCAGAGAATCATTCGTCCTTGAGTTTTCTTGAGTCTTCCTTTTTCCCGAATGCGTAGCGAAGGGTTCCCGTTTATAGTTGGGGGTCTGGGGGTTGGAGCTGTGTTTGCATGGCTTGCGTCGTGTCGTCGTCTCTCGTCGTTTGTCGTCGCTTGTCGTCGTCTCTCGCCGTTTGTCGTCGTCGTCGCGTCTCAAATTTGCTGCCATTGGGGGAAGCTTTTGCAAGTGACTTTGCATGGATGTGGTACGTGTCAGTTTGCGCCGCTATTCCATTGTGATTTGCATGACAATGACATGTCGCGCAAGAAACGTGATGCATTTCGCTGCACAGGCCCAGCATTTTGTGAGATCCGCAGATTGCTGCGCAGTTCCATTGGGATTAGCGTTTGGAGAGTCGTGTTTTGGGGGTGTTGGATGTGGCCATGCCATTGGGATTTGCGTGTGAGGGTGTGGCATCGAAGCTCGGCTTTCGTGACAAGTCTCAGCTGAAATGGCGATTTTGGTGGATGGGAGTGTGCTCAGAACGGGTCGAAATCATGCCAAACGTGTGGTGTGGTGCAAATTTTGTTGAAGCTCACATGAGATGATATTGTCACTTTTCGTGGCAGGCGCAGGACTTTGTGCGGGCTTTGAGGCGTGGAAGTGCGATTCTCGTGGCAGGCGCAGGGAATCGTGAGGTTGCGAGGTGTGACGGAGGTGACATTTCGTGGCAGGCACAGTACTTTGTGCGCGTTATACGTGTGGACGCGGAAAGATTCGTGGCAGGCGCAGGGAATCGTGAGGTTGTGAGTTGTGGTAGAGGTGAATGTCGCTGTCACATTGGGATTGGCGTGTGGGCGGACGTTGTTTGGAGGGGCTGGAATCGCGAAACTGCTTGGCAGGGCTGCGTGATGTGTGTGCTTCGATGGGTGTTTCCGCTTGACTTTTGGAGGAAGTCTCGTACGAAACGCTCGTTTTGCAGACTTTGACGTGTGAGTTCTTGAGGAAGTCTCGTACGAAACGCTCGTTTTGGAGACTTGACGTGCAACCCTCTGCGGAGATCGTGCGTGTCGAGTGTGCGAAACGCAGGCGAGAGTGCGATTTGTCCCATGCGCGCGCAACCCTCTGCGGAGATCGGGCGTGTCGAGTGCGTGAAACGCAGGCGAGAGTGCGATTTGTCCCATGCGCGCGCAACCCTCTGCCCTACAAGAGTGCCCCACAAGAGTTTCCTACAAGAGTGACCCACAAGAGTGTCCTACAAGAGTGTCCTACAAGACTGTCCCAGAAGAGTGTCCTACAAGAGTGTCCCACAAGAGTGTCTCACAAGAGTTTCCTACAAGAGTGTCCCACAAGAGTTTCCTACAAGAGTGATCCACAAGAGTG